TGTTTATAGTTCTAGCGCTATATAAATTCCTTATCATTATCATTATCATTACCGTCAAGTTGCTGGGGCTTACTATAAGCGCTAACCTGACTTGGAACGCACACATTGAAGAAGTAGTTAGGAAAGCTAATAAGCGATTGTATGTCCTAGTGCAGCTTACAGCTTTATCGCCAGCAAATCTATACTGGCGTTAAGTCCGTGGTCGATTATGCCGTTCGGGTATTTTAGAACGCCCTGCCGCAATTTCTCATCAATGAGCTTGTTCGTCTTGAGGAAAGGCTGATCTCAATCATTATGCCCGGCACGAGTTACAATAATGCATGCCAAATCCTTGGCATAATACCAATGGTGGATTATGTCGATTCACTATGTGATAAGCTTTTTCATAGCATCGCATTTGACAAGGACCATACGCTGAACAGCTTACTTCCGCCATTATATAAGATTCCGAGGTATAATTTAAGAAACCATCGCCTCTACAATATGCCACATGTCTGCGCCAATTGGCCAAAGAATCTTCTATACTTGCAATGGCCGCCAAGAAAATTGAATTTTACAGGTAATTTTTTATCAGTGGAACTTGTAACGATAATTGTAGGTTGTTTTCCAAATTACATATCATAGCTATAAGAAGTGTATTGAGGTTTTATTATAATGGTTATCATTACTAGATCTCTTTTAAACATAGTTAGCATCTATATTATACTTTAGTCAATATTGTAACTTTTACAAATGTGGGTATGTAAACAATTGCGTAATTCAGCCTTTGGGCTGCAATGTGAATTTGAATAGAAACGTACCTACTATCCAAGTCTGCCCATCCTTGCCCGCCAACACGGCTCATAGAAGGTGTTTTTATGACGTCAACTCGAGTCCTTTTGTAAAGATTTCCCAACATCTCTTGAAATGAATAAAAAGATCTACCCTTTTTCTTAACATTTATTGAAATAAATGAGGTAAGTGACAGATTATAATGACAGATTATCTCAACGTTCGAATTTAAACAAGGTAAGAGTGTCATGTTAGATTTTTTTGAAAATTGTAGTGATTTATGCCGGTTAGCAGTGGCGACAAGTAGGTGCACCATGTATATTTCATAGTCGCTATCGGGTAAATTTTGCCGGACTTTGACTTCGTCTCAAGATAGAACAACAAAAATACACAAGGAAATTTTTACAGTAACTTTATAACATCCTTTTGTCTTTTAAATGCTTGAAGCTCAGTAGATTCTGTCATATCGGTCATTGTTAAAACTGTCTTTGTTTTGATGCTACCTTTTGACATAGAAAAGCAGGTCGGACAAAAATATTCACCAAAATAAAAATATTTCTTTGCCAGCTTCAATAATGACAGGGGATTAAGTTTAGATGATAAAACAAAGGATTATGTTGACAGAAATACCATAAGTCTAGTATATTCGTCACACAGTGAAAATTTGCATATTTGAGCGGCAGAACGAAAAAAATCATTTCTCGAAAATTAAAATGAATGTTTACAAAAAAAACTACACCACAATTATCAGAACATATTGGGCTGCAAAATATAAAAGTAGGAGTGAAAGCAAATTTTGGGTGACTTGCCGCTGTTTGTCTGATGCATGCCGACATTAGATCTTAAGTTCTTATTCAAGTTCATGTTCGAGTACTTCCCATTCAACACAGGACGAAATTGCAAGAATCCGTAAACGGAAACGTGGCGGAAACATGCAA